TAATCTGAAGGCCTTGCACTTGCTGATACTCTACCACTTTAACCACACCTCTAGTCCCATGTGTGGCTATTTTAAAAGGCACAAGAAAGAGAAACCAGAATATAAACATGCCCGTTTTAAATTTAAGTCCCCCAAATTAAAATTCTAGAAAACAAAAATCTTCAGTTACACCCATCACATTTCTAGTGCTCAAAAGCTACACCTGTGTGGTTACTGTCCTGAACAGCACTAAGAACATTTTCACCATGCTAGAAAGTTCTGTTGGGTATGGTAGAAAGTTCCTAACCTCCCTCTTCACAACAGTCCAACCTCGAAATGTATCCAAACGCCTATCAACAGCAGAATGGATAAATGAATTGTGGTGTGGTCACACAATGAAAGGAAAGAAAAGGAACTGTCTGCCACTTACGCAGTAAAATGGAGAAAACTCAGGAACGAAAGAAGCTAGGGGCACGTAAGAATGGCTATTGGTAATACTTCTCAAATGGATACAGCATCTACAGGGTTACAAGCCAGGCGGCAAGCTTGTGCAACTGGTAACATTGTTTCTTCCTCTGTATAAGTTACTTTTCGGGATGTAGCTTGTTTTTTATTCTGTGTGGATCTTCAGTTTTCGAAATGCCACCTTCAGGAATGGTTAGTTATTAAGCTCGTCCCCGCAGTCTAGATTGGGGAGCGAGGAGGAGGAAGCGTCTTTCTAACATCTCAAGTGTGGTTTGGGATCAGTGCTCCGTGGCCCACACGCCTCCACCGGGAGTGGCTCCAGCACACCTCAAACCGCACCCCGGACGTCCTACCTCCGCGCTGCGGCCGGCTGCTGCTGTTCTCGCTTACTTCGGCGGCGCTTGGGGCTGCGACGATCAAGGCTGCCGGCTCTTCCAGTTGGGGTGCTCACGGGGTTCTGTGTTGGCCAGGCTTTCCCAGGGGTTCCCTGCTCTTCCAGCTCTGGCTGCCTGAACTAGGGCCCCGCCTGGGAGCCTGCAGCCCCCGCACCTGCGCCACCCGTGTGGCACCGAGGATCTGCCCCCTCGGTTCAACTAAGCTGAATTCTGTTCAGTCCGTCTCCAGGCCGTCTCCTGGAGTTCCTGAAGTTGGGTGTAGGGCAGGCCCCCCCCCCGAAGTCCCCCTGGGGCCCTGATCGCTGAAGCTAAGGAGCCGGGGAGGTAGAGGTGGAGGCCTAGAAGCACCCCGCCTTCCGCACGCGCGTTCTCCCGGGAAGCGCCCGCCCACCCTGCTCCACCCAGGCGGAGGCGAGCGGCCCGGCTCACTCAGCGGCGGGGCCTGCGGGCCCTGCAGAAGCCGTTTCCCTTCCCGATCCTTTTCTCTTGGGCTGGAGGGGAACCCGTAAGCGGCTCCACCTGGGGTCGAATTCCCCAGGAGCAAACTGGGCTGCCTCTGTCCCGGGGCTCACCAGCAACGGGCCTGGAATGCGCGCCCGCGGTTTGGGGGCTCCGAATTCTCGGGACCTGATTCTCAGCATTCACCCTACCTAGCACAAAGTCTGATGGGTGCCCCACCAGTACCAAACCTGCGCTAAGCTACTTGTACATAGACGTCTCATGTGGTTTTTCCAAGCCGAGTGAATTACATAAAGGTTTGTATGCTTTGTTTTAGTTGTTGTTGTTAATCTAAGAGAGAGCTGGGGAGGCGGTAGAGTGCTTGCTTCACACGCGCAAGGCCTTGAGTTCAAACCACCACCAACAGAAAAAAAAATGCTAAGAGAAATACGCTGTAAGCACACTGAAACTGGGATTCAGAGCGTTCCTTACTTACTCAAGGTCCATACTGCTGGTGGCAGCGACACTGTGATTAGATGGATCCAAGACCATCTTCCTAATTCCCAAGATCAGGCTCTGTGGGGAGGGAGGAAGCACCCCAATGCGATCTGCTGGACCCAATTGGGCCTCTCCCACCGGAAGTGCCCACCCGCCTCCTGAGGTCCCTGGGACACAGTCACTGGAAAGCAACAATGGTTATCTACAGATTCAGAGACACAAGGAGGGTCTCGCCTGAGGTGATCTTTGAAATCACAGATGCCATTCTTCTTTCTGCCTTGAGGCTCAGAAAGCAGAGTCCCAGGGACAACTTGGACTTGGCCTTGGATCAGTTTCAGGGGCTGTTAGACTTGTCTGAATTTTATTTTTATTATTGCTTCTTGTGGTTTTCCACAGTTTGAGCCCAGGAGGAAGAGAGAGAGAGAGAGAGAGAGAGAGAGAGAGAGAGAGAGAGAGAGAGAGCTCAGGGAAGGGGGAGCTGGGTTGATCAGACATTTTCACCTGATGTCCCTGGCTTCAGAACCCCAGTAATGACCAGAACGGTCGGAAATCCCTCACGAAGTGACGAGGGCTATTTATATTTGAGTGTGCAGGCCCCAGGGTAGGGTAAGGAACAGGGAGGCTGGTCCAGCCTAGTTTTAAGTGTCTTAAGACACGCAAACCAGGAGGAAGCCGGTCCATAGGACCAGCTGTATTTCCTCTATGAGAGTTACATTCCAGAACTGGAGAGGATGCAGAATGAAGGGCCAGGAGGAAGCTGGGCAGGGACGGTGAGGGTCTGGGGCTGGGAGCACAGAGAGGCCATGGCCCAGCAGGATGCAGGACTGGACTGGAGAAGTAGCTTCTTATTTAGGAAACCCTCAGGGGAGAGAGAGTGACTGCTCTCAGAGAAATCCAGCCTTGGAATTAAGCTCACCTGTCATTCTCAGCTGCTCACAAATGTAGAGGAAATGCCTTCTAGACCCCTTTTTCCTTATCTACCAGTCCTAATTCCCAAACTTTGTATTTCAGTACCAGTCTTCACTAAGTTCTCACTCAGCCTCCTTGCTTAGATTTTGAGCTCTAAGGCCCTGACGCTGGGGTTAGATGGGTTGCTGAGCCAAGAATCCCCCCTTTACATCTCCCTCAAAGCTACAGCTTGACACTACCAGGGTCATCTGCTCCAGGGAAGGAGCCGTGAAAGAACCTGGCAGGCAGGCATGCGCTGCAGAGCTGGTAACCCCAGAAGATCTAATTTCCAAAGACAAAAGATGCCAGACTGGCTCTCCAAGACCTTTTGTGGAGGGGAGAGACACAAATAAATCTTTGCACCATACCATGTGATGACATTGGAAAGTACCTAAGACTCTGGTGGCACAAATAAGGGGGTGATTAACTCCGTTTAAGGGGTTTCAGAAAGACACTTGGCCTTAAAGGAGGCGCAGGAGCTCCAAAGAAAGATGAAGAAGGGCATCCCAGACCAGGGGGGACCATAGCACAGGCCAGGGCCTCACTGCTGTGACCTCTACTCTTTCCCCTTAGGGTACCCCAACTCCCAGCATTGGGTTCCAGCTCCTCTTTTGAATTCATCTACTATTTTCCCCCCACATTTATTTGGTTGTTGTCACATAAACTCACACCCATACACCTGAAAATACTTAGGTTTTACAAACACACACACTCCACTTTCCAGCATCCAAAAGATATAGTTAAGTTGATGGATGGGTGGATGGGTGGGTGAACGAAGGAATGAGTCCCACAGCTGGTAAGTATGAGAACCAGTCTAATCAACTTCTATAAATAACTTATAGGTTGGTGGGAGGTGTGAGAGAAGGGAAAATTGAAACCGATCAGTTAGTTGAGGAAGCCCCAGTCTGATACCCTAACTCAGGCCCAGCTCCAGGGGCTTCTAAAGCCAGAGAGAAGAGAGGAGGGGGGACCTCCCTGCCCCAGCACCCCTTCTCCAGCCCCCCACTAGGCCCTTTTAGATGCGGCCAAGCGCTTCCTGGGCGGTCAGAAGGTTTCCGAGGGCCGCCCAACCTCCCTCCCTCCTTTTCTTCCTCCCTCCTTTCCCTCCTCCTTTCTCTTCCAACTCCTCGCGTCTCTCCAGCTCCCCAGTGGGGCGGCCCCGAGGCAGCCCACCAGCCCCCACCCCCCTCTTGCAAGGGCGAAATTGCTAAACTTGTAGCAATAATGACCCTGCATTCAGGCCTCCGACTCCCGCCGAACGCCTGTGCGCCCGGGCCAGCCCGGCCTAATCAGTGCGCCCCTCCCTGCTGCCCGCCCAGCCCCCGGCCGCCGGGCCGCCCCTTCCCCCCAGTGCACAAAAAAAAATGGGGAACAAAACCCCCGCGCATTTCTCTGTCCCTCTGTTGAGCAGGCTGCTGCACAAAGCCCCCGCTCGGAGAAGCAATGGGGAGCTCGGGAGAGACGTCAATCCGACGCGCTGGGGTTTTTGTTCGCGCAGGGGACCTCGCCTTCCTACCACACCTTTTGTTCGAGACTCCAATAAAAAGCCATTCTTTCCGCACCTTCCCGGCCCGGAGCCGCCTTTCAGCGAGGCCCGGCCCCACAATGGCCCAGCGCTCTGAGGCCTCCCCATTCACCCGCCTTGGCACGCTCACAATCGGCCGTGTGGCAGCCCAGGCCTCGCACAGGCATTCTCCGCTAGTGACAAGGAGCTGCATTAAGCCGCGGCCGCCGGGGGAGAAGGGAGGGCGGCCGAGGGGGAGAGCTAGACCGCGACGGGGCGCAGCGCAGCGCCCCCCGGGCGCGCTGGGAGCCCGGGTAGAGGCCGGGGAAGGAGCGGCCTTCGCGTAGCCTGCTGCTAGGCTGAGTTGAAGGCAAAGTTTTCCCCTTCCTTGGCATCCCTGGAGGTCGGGCAGAGTCTAACCCTTGACCTAGACAGGTCCAGACAGCTACTCCAAGCAATCCGAGTAAAATTCGGGATGGGGAGGGGATTACAAAGTCTGGGACCTTCTGAATCTCCAGCGTGTCTTTCCCACTACAGTAAAGAGAAGTTAATGTACAAAGCTGGGAAGAGATCAGACCTGTAGTCTGTGGTCTGGCTTAGGAGGGGACCAGGCTGTGATTCTCCGCCGCCCACCCCTCCAGGGAAGATTTTATTTTTTAATTAAGGCTCCTCTTTCCTCCTCTTCCCGTTCCAATTTTAAGGGAGCTCCTCCACCCATTGGGACTGAACAAAGTCTGCAGCCTGCCAACAGTTTGGAAATATTGCACCTTGTTTATTGATTCCTGTAGTGTATGGCAGCGGGTGTGTACACGGCGTGTGAATATAGTTATAGAGAGAGATAATATGTGCTGAATACAGAATAGGAAACAGGAAGGCGACCTGGGAACACCTCCGGTGGTCCACCAGGTCCTGGATTTGCTCAGCCCCCCTCCCCCCAATCTTCTCCTCAACTTTCGATCTCCCGGGGCTGTTTTTCCTGGAAGAGTCCTGAGTCTGTTGCGGACAATCCAGGGAGATCTAGGCCGCGTCTCCGCTGCTCAGGGGGAGCGGTGGGAAAACGAAAATCAACTGTGTGATGGCGCTTCGGGCCAGCAAAGGCAGGACAGGACCGAGAGAACCCGGGAATTCTCAAACCACGTCCCCCATTCTTTTGCTTTGCTTTCTTTCTTCCTTTCCTTTTCATTCTTTTTTTATTCTTTTTTGGTCCTAGTTCCCCGCCAACTTTTCGCGGAGAGAGAGAAGCCCTTGCCGCTCTAAGAGAACCAGCGGCGGTAGGAGTCCCAGACTCCCGCACTCCCCGGAGGGGCCAGCACCGGGGGGCTGGAGGGGAGGGCATCGTCCGGCCTGACATTTGGCCTAGATTTCTGTCTCAGACAGTCTTGGCGATCGGACTCGAACTTCCTCCTCTCCCCAATGCTGAGTCTTTTTCCCCAGGCCTCAAGTGAGCTGCGATCCGGACAGACGGAGCTCTGGAGAGCAAGACATGCGCATTTTATTTACTTGTCGTTTTGTTGTTGTTGCTGCTTTTAACCGAGGGGACCTGGCTCTTGGATCTGGCCTTTTTCATGCTTCATTCCCCACGGCGCCAAGCAGCGAGGGGGGAGGTGCCCGCCGCGTAACCAGCGAAGTCTCTACCAGGCCCGAATGCCCTGCAAGGTGCCCTGAGCACACGCGGCCCCGGCTGCCGCAGCCTGGTGCAGGGGCTGGGCGCCGCCGCCGCCGCCGCCGCCGAAGCCTCCCAGGTTGCTCACGTTCACAAAGGGACCGCCGCCGGTCGCGCTGCAGGCGGGTTGCATGGCGGTGGCCGGCGTGGCCGCCGCCGCCACCACCACCGCCGCCGGTCGGGTACGCACAGCCGTAACTGCCGCTATAGGCCGCGGCGGCGGCGGCAGCGGCGGCGGCGGCGGCGGCAGCGGCGGCCGAGTTCCCATAGCCGTAGGCGGGGAAGCTGTTGTACGAATAGGCGCCCGCACCCACACTGTAGGGCGCGCCGTAGGCCTGCGCGCTGGGCGTGACGCACGGTTTGCCGTCCCGCACCAGCACGGGGACGGCCACGCGGCGCGGCGGCGGCGGCGGGGCGTGCGCGCCCAGCTCCAGAGACTTGTCCTGCCGTTGTCTCTTGCACTTGTACCTGCGATTCTGGAACCAGATTTTCACCTGCGTGGACGTGAGCTTCAAGCTGCTGGCGAGGTGCTCCCGCTCGGGCGCCGACAGGTACCGCTGCTGCTTGAACCTGCGTTCCAACTCGAAGACCTGAGCTTGCGAGAAGAGGACCCGCGGCTTCCGGCGGCTGCGCGGCTTGGGTCTCTCGCTCTCCTCCGTCGTCGCCTTCCCGTCTCCTGCCGCTTCTAGATTCTTCTTCAGCTGGCAGCTTTCTGCAGGAGAAGCAAAACAACCAGGGGGTCATTAGCTGTTCTCAGCCTTACCATGCTCCCCACATACACACCTGCCCTTGATTTTCGTGCGGTAGGAAATGTCTGAACTTTTTGCAAACTTCGTGATTCCTGGTCCCTTAGGATCCTGCAATAGACAGCCCCTATACTCAAAGAACGACCCCAGTGGGGCGGAGGCACTTGGGGAGGGGAGTAGTTAGTATGCATTTATTAAACTATGAGCATCTTAGAGAGAAGAGATTACCCTGTATTAAACCTGTGGCTCGACGGCCTAATGACTATTTTCAGGATGAAAGCTTGCGACTCCATAACAACTACAGTATTTGCAACTCGTTTGCCTTTCACTCTACACGGATAACTGAAGGTGTTGGCTTGGGGCAGGGAAGGGAGAGGGGAAGAGAAGGTGATATACATAGATTGCTTGAAATTTTTCTGTTGGGAAATGTCTGAATGCAACGGGATCCGAGCCTGCCGACTGTTTTGGTTTTTGCTTATTAAAGACTGCTTGTAAATAAGTGTGTGATGTCTGCGTTACAGCAGAGAGAGAGAGAGAGAGAGAGAGAGAGAGAGAGAGAGAGAGAATGAGTTTGGTTTTAGACAGCCTCGTGTGGATTTTAGGCCTGAGGAGCATGCCAGGCCTCGGCCCCGTTAAACCTCCTCTTGGGGAAAGCGATTTCTTGATTTGGTCCCCTTAGAAACACTACTTCAGGGACTTTAATCGGTTATCTGATCTCCCTACCGAGTTTACCTCCAGTCCGCTGGGATCTGTGTTAAGTTCAGAGCCTTCTCTATTTGGCCTACAGCCTGAAGCACAAAGCAAAAACGTCTAGGAATGATTTTAAACAGGCCAGTGCTTAGAAGTGTGAAAGCTAAGGTCACCAAGAACCGATGGTGTTCCCACGCCCTTTTGGATCATCCTCTTCCCTCTGCAGGGTGGGGTGGGGACAGACACCGCTGAACCCCACTCAGAGAACTAAGGGGTCCACTCAGCTGGTCTCTACCGAAGTTCCTGAGCCACCGCGGGGCTAGAGACAGCACAAGCTGTTCACACTGCCTTTTTGGAGAAGAGGAGGTGTCTGTTCTGGCTTCAGATAACTCATCTCATGTTAAAAAAAGAAATCGGAAAGCTGGCCAGGCTCCTGCTCCCTATTTTTTCTGGAAGGGGAGCACTTTGTTTGGAGGGGGGTAGAGCCAAAACACTGAGAGATGTTGGGGCTCTGTGGCTGAGTTCCATCCGGTTTCCACAACAGGGCAGCGATAACCACTTTATCCTGCCTCGGAGTGTGTGTGTGGGGCTGTATCATCCTCCCTGCTTTTTTGGGGGGGTGAGTACTTGTCAGGGTCACCTCGTCCTCCTTCCTCCACCCCAACTCCCTGGCAGGTACCTGCGCTTTGGAGCTGTGTGCTGGAGCTGTCGTTGGCTGGGGGCGGAGGCATGTCACTAGTCAAAGGTTAAAGGGGCGGGTAGCCTTTCTGGCAAGGTTTGTGTTTGCGGGCGTTGAGCCATTGCTCCAGGTGTGCGGGTGCGTTTCCGTTCCCCCTCTACTCACTTTGGCTCCGGTCCCTCACGACCTCCTCTTCGTGTTCCTTAGGCCCGCTGCATGTGTCTCGCAGGACCGTGTGGACATAGCTCTGGGGACAGAGACCCGAATCCCCGTGGCCGTCGGCTGCGGCTAGTGAGTTCAAATAAGACAGTTTCTCGCTCTCCTCCTCCTCGTCCTCCTCCCCTCCATCGGAAAACTGTGTCCCCTCCGCGGCGGCCAACATACAAGGCGCCGAGTGGAAGTGGTGTTCCAGGTCCGTCTGCAAATGAGCGCCGTGGAAGTGCTGCTGTTGCTCCAGATTCAAAATGTCTTTGACTGAGAAAGGGGTGGAGGTGACCGGGCTTGGTAACATCATCAGGGCCACTTGATTGTCCAGTCCAAATACTTAATAAATCCCGGCGGGGGCGGGGAGGCAGCCGATGGCTCCAGCTTCCCTTCCGGACTCCGCCGCCGCCGTGCTGCAGAGTCCGGCTTTTGACAGACGCGATCTTGCTCCAGTCTAAATCGCCTCCATTGGCCCGGACCTGGGGGTCTGGGTTTTGTTACAGCCACTGCAAGGACTGGGGCCGGGGCTGCGAAGCCTCTGTCCCAGGGCCTTGCGTCATGTCTGGGGGCGGGGCAGGCACCCTGGCCTCGCTCCTCATTGGTTCTGGCTCCTGTGGGCCACGCCCCACGTGTCCACCCTGTAGGATGTTGCGGGTGCTACCAGAAATAGACAAGGACTGAGGGTCGGTTCCCGAAGTCCAAGTCACTGCGGAAGAGGCTGGCGCCGACCCCGGGTGTACGAACTTACGGATTTCTTGCTCGATCTGACCCAGTTCTGGAAGGCTCCACTGTCCATGAAATCAGTGCTCGGGATGGATGTCACAAGAGTGTTAGAGTATTATTTTTTTCTCCCCACCTGCTGTGAGTGGGCAGGAAAACCTCCGTGGCTGATGATAAACGCGAATAGCTGGATTCCCAAGGAGACGAAGTGTTTTTATCCACGTGTGAACGACGTGTCACTTTCTGTCTCGTTGCCTTTACTCCAGCTGTTTTCTCCACCCGGATGCCTCTCCTGCCCGGTTTCCACGAATTGGAAAGCTGTTCTCCGAGGCTCTACACAAATACCACCTTCTTCAAGGAAGTGCTCCCTGAGCCCATCGCCTGGCCGGAAGTCTTCTTTCCCGCCTCTGAACGTGGCAACTCCTTTGCCTCTTAGTTCTATAGCTTTAATCTACCTGTGGGTAGTCTGGTTAGGTTGTGAGTCCCTCGAGGGCAGTTTGCATTTGCCCTTGTAGCCTTCAAAGCGGCTGAGCAGAGCAGGTATGTGAAAGACAAGGTGATGAAGTGTCTCCCTCCCCCCCTACCTCCTGTGTTGAAAATGGGGCTTGAATTTAGGGCCTCATGCTCTTATCTAGCCTTTTCCCCATTCAAGGCTGGCATCCTGCCACACCTCTGCTTCCAGCTTTTTGCTAGTTAATTAGAGATAAGAGTCCCTCGAATTTGTCTGCCTGGCTCTCACCCAAGACCCTCAGATCTCAGCCTTCTGAGTACTATACAATTACAGGTGTGAGCCATTGCACCAATGCCCAAGATGATAGAGTTCTCACTCTGCTTTGGTGTTCTTACTATGCTCTTGACTTTGAATTCTGGCCTAAACAAGAGTTTATTCTTGGACATTTCTCAATTTTCTCACTTGTAGAAAGGAGCTAGAAATGCCCGCTACGGGGTTATCACTTGGGTTAAATAAAGTCAAACAAACCAGGAACTTCGGATCTTAAGCATGTGAAGTGTTCAGTACATGTCAACTACTGCTCAGAGGTTGCCTGTATTGGTGGTGGGCTTGTTGGTGATGTGGCCAGACCACTATATACCCTGCAAGGCTTCACAGGGTTTGGAGAACAAGATCTTTTCTCAGAAGGAAGGTGACCCGGCTCTGACTACCTCTCTTCTGCCTATTGAAATCAGGAGCCTGAGTCCAGGCCTCAACTCCAGAGACACACCCAAATTCTCTACTCCTTCTGCCCTCATGAGACCTTGGTTGCTTTCTGGTGGGATCTATGAGATCCTCCAGAGATTCTGGGACCATGTTCTTCCCTCACCGTTGGCATTCACCCTGTGGGTTGAAGAGTACTACTGAGGCCCCCATAAAGACGTGTGGGCAGCACTGGCCTTGAAAAAAATAAGTTCCCACCCAGCCCTGACATCTTCACCAAGCTGCCCCAAGGTTGGTTTGTTTTGTTTTGAGTTAATTTCAATTTTTTTTGGCAGTCAGGATGGCAGAGTTGGGAAAGATCTGATTAGCTAAAAGGGGGAAGTTAGAAGGTGCAGAGGAGAGGGGTAGTCTGAATATGTGTATGTAGGAGGGGTGGGGGTGGGGTGGAATTTGAATGGAAAACTTAACATGCAGGACTCCACAACTTCGAGACAGCTAGGCAAAGGCCCAGCAGAGAAAGAACAGCCTGTTGGGAGGGGAGAGAGGCGGGGCTCTACCAGAGAGAGGAGAGAGAGAGAGAGAGAGAGAGAGAGAGAGAGAGAGAGAGAGAGGAAATGTTGTGGGGAAGACAGAGCCTGGGGCAGCTTGGGATGCCTGGATGCCTGGGGCCCTCCATACCCAAGAGCAAGGGTCCCAGGGCGGTGGGATAGATGGTCTGTGGGCAGGGCCTGGCTCCTTCCAGCTGTCAGCCAGAGGGGCTGCCCAAGTCCTTTCAGCTTTAAAGTTGAACGCTGCAGACGCCCCAAGCAGAGACAGTTCCCTCTTACCCAGGCCCCCGGGAAGGACTGCGTCAGTTTTGCAGCGGGATCCCAGCACAGGTTCAAGCATCCAGAAAGAAGTGGGGGTGAGTGCATGTCACTGAAGGGTGGGGGGCCTTGGGTGTGTGTATCACAGGTGGTGGGAGATCCTACCAGAAGGAAGCTGTGTCCCCACCCCCAGGGCATAGCATCTTGGGGGAACCATTTCTGCAACTCCGCAGGTGATCTCAAGATGTGTAAAAGATCCCTTTTACCAAAGGGATCTTGCGCTCCCCATTTCCAATAGATGTCTGAGTCTGTACTGGCTACATGCCTTGCCTCTCGGTGATGCCTTTGTCTCCCAGGCCCTATCTCAACCGAATTCTACAAACCCGAGTCTTAGAACCCAGACTGGGACACTGCGTGGCTCCAGTGCCCCAACCTCACATCATGCCCCCACACCCAGGGCCGCCACCAGAGCCTACCAGGTCTATCCTTTCTGTCTCCTCACCACCCACGGGCCCACAAATCACACTGCCACCGCCACTGTCCCGCCACTGTCCGCCCCATGCCTCCCAGTTCAATGCACTTCAGGTAGCAGGCTGGAGGGTTGGGGAGACCTAGCAAAGAAAGGCTCCCAGCTGGGTGGCGTTTATTGCCCATCCCGCTTTTCTCTCCCCATCCCTTGCCCCAGGCAGAGCTGACCCAGCTCCTGAGAAGTTGACAACCACTATTGTATCCTGTGAAGGAATCATCTTTGTTTTATGCCCAGAGCAGGGTGTGGGGTCAATTCCAGCTGCCAAATGGGACGTTCAGACTCCTTCTAGTTGGTCCCCCTCTTGAGTTGTGGGTCTTTCCTGTGTGGAGCCCATCCTATCCAGTCCCGCCTGCCCCAGCAGCCTGAATTCCTGGTCACTAGGGGCTGTGGCTATCTGTGTGCATGCGTGGTCCAGGAGGCAAACTCAACCACCGCAGCCCAAACTCAACCACCGCAGCCCCTTCTCCTAGGTCACTTATCAGACTGTAGAATCTAGTTCCTACAAGTATTCGGTTACTACTGGGTTAAGGAGCATTTGCATTCTCTTGTCTGAAAAGATCTTTGAAATCTTGAAACTGTGCTCCATTCCTAAGTTTTCCGTTCCAGGCAGTTTAGCTAGTTACTGTCAGATAAAGTAAATAATGGTTGCATCCGTGGAAACGTTTGATTTTATTTTAATCGAATGTATTTGCCTTACTGCACTTCGTTCATGTTGTACCTTTACACAAGCCCCTCCCATCGGGTATTTGATTAAAGATCAGGTTAAATGATGGCAAATTCCACAAAGGGAAGGGGGAGGTGCTATATAAATGCACTATGAATAAATAAAATTATATCATCGTAAAAAAAAGCTGCCGGTTAACCATCTCAGTAAATATATTCTCAGTTAAAATATGATCATATTTTGAAAACTGTAATGTGTTCCCGTGTTATTCTTTACAAGACATTGTTTTATTCATGTACATTTAAATACAGGCAAATAATCAGTAGTTTTAGTTATGTGTGCCACTGCTTATCTTGTTGCTTAAAAAGCCATTTAATTATGTAACCAAAACCATGAAAAGCATGATTTCAATGTGGCACCAAGCAGAGGAGTGATTTTCCTATTAAAAGTATAAAACTTATCCTAAAATGAACTCAACAAAGCCAAAATGATATTGCATTTCAGGGGAAAAAATTCACCTTTTACAGGTGTCCTATAAATTCTATTCTCAGTGACTTCATCCAAAACAGAGAGAGAGAGAGAGAGAGAGAGAGAGAGAGAGAGAGAGAAAGTGAATGAAAACAAGAGCAAAAAACTGGCCTCTTTAGTGGTAGTGTGAAATGGAGTTTTGTTAATTTGTTGGTGGTAGTTGGGTGGATTTGGTTCTTTGTGTAAAAAGATGTTAGAAAGCTATCTGAGATTTCAGAGCAATCCAGAAGCAATAACATTTTGCTTGTGAGCAAGGTGAGTATATGTTCTATTTTTAAAGAAATGCCAACTGGCCTGGTCAGTTGTTGAAGGCATTAAGCTGATCTAATTTTTTTTCTTGATCGCATCTATTTCTGTGTTGATGTAATTTTTTAAGGGACTTTAAAGTTCTATCTCATTTTTGCATACATGCTTGAATTCCCCCCCCCACTAGATTTTGTTTGCAATTGTATTTTCTAAATAACACCATTTCTCTTCCCTGGTCAGAAATCAGTTGGGCTACAGCAAATCGTGTGGTTCTTGTAAATGACGGGCTTTTGCTGAGAAAGTGAGTTTCGATTTCTCAGCAAGAGGACTCCACAGAACTCTCTATGTGTGTTCGTCTTCCTTCAAATCAAAATCAAAATAAAAATGTCAGTTAAAACTATTTCACCAAAACCAGTTTCATGATGGTTAAAAAAAAACAACAACACACACATACACACAAAACAACGAAACCAGAAGAAGCATCTTCGTTGAATGAAAAATCAATAGTTTTTCAAACAAAAAATGCCTAAAAAAATGAAGGATGTCTATACACGAGCACTTATTTGTACTGATGTGTGTGCTATTGAGGAGTGCAGTGAGCAGTGTTAACTTGGGGATTACTTTGGAATTCTGAATGCATTCCGTGACTTTTTTTTTAAGTGTGTTTAACTTCCTGTAGCAAAAAAAAAAAAATTAACGTCTGAAAATATACTGCTGCTCTGGACGAATTGATTCACTTAAACCAGAACGTTTGCCTGCTCTGTGCGGTTCGGAGCAGAAAAAGAAAAAGATTCTTGACCCTTTTTAGTGTTCCCTTTTCCAGCTCTCAACTGAAAAATCCGCTCCAGGAGCCTAGGCAGTCTGAGAAGTC